TGGAGAAAAAGAGGAAGACCCCCAACGAGATGGATCAGCCAGGTGGCATCATTGATGGACTCAAGTGTGGCAGCAGTAGTGAGGTTGGCCCAGGATCGAACATTGTTTCGTTCTGCTGTGCATGGGGTCCCTATGAGTCGGTTCTGACTCGATGGCACCTAACAACAACATTGGAAGGAGCATTGCTTCATGTTTGTTGGCCACCTGAATTTCTTCTTTGGCTCAGGGTTTGAGCTTCTGGAGGGTAGGTTTTTAGGTTTTTGTCTTCTATCTTCGCTGCTTTATTCCCAGTGCTTAGAACTGAGCCTGACAGTAAGCAGCTGAAAATGTTTTTTAGTGAATTAATGAATGGGTTTCCCAGGCAGTGGGGAACTCCGGAGCATGGTAGGAAATTTACTCCGCAACCCAGAACCATTAAAAATCCAAACCAGTCGCCTTGGAGTTGATTCTGCCTCATAGTGACCCTACAGGACATAGTAAAAGTGCCCCAAGGATGGCTAAGGTTGGACTCTTTACAGGAGAGGGTTTGAACCGCTGAGCTGCCCTTTCAGACGCTTAATCCCTGTGACACCAGGAACCCTCCAAAAGTCATCAAAGGCAATAATTCCCAAACCTCGGTGGCAGGGGTGTGTGGGGGTGGGGCGCTATCCAAGGCATGCTGATACATGGGGTTTAGGGTTCAGAAGTCGTGGGAATCAGCTGATGGCCTTAGGACATGCTGGGAAATGTAACCCAAAGGGCCATGACCCTAAAGGTACAGGTGGTCCTACACAAAGCCCCAAGTCACTCCAGGAATTCAGCTTCAAAGGCACCTAGAACCCAAAGGACAGGGTTCATTATAACAGTGCCCAATACCACACAGGTCTAATGGTCACCCCTGGATCACACTGGGGAATGGAACTCACGGGGCAAGGGTCCTCAGTGCCAGCTGAGAGGCTTCACTAGCCCACCCTCCAGCTGCTCCTCCTATCCAGTGGAGCACTCTGGGAAATGTAATCCAGGCTTTGCCCTACCCCCAGACCACCCCCTGCATGCTTTTCTGGGGAATGTAGTCCAGGCTCTAGTGCCCTTGCAAGCTTTTCTGGGAAATGTAGTCCAGGAGAGGTGTTCCAGTGGGTTTGGAACTACTATAGTAGACTAACATAATAATGCAAGAAATAATGCTAGCCTTTAAGGCCCTTGACATGTCAAAACTGGGTAAGATGCAGACACTTTGAGATACATACAGATCATACAGAAAGGGTCAAAATCCAGAGAGAGGTAAAAGATTCATTTTTCCAAGGAATTTTGGAGCGTCCCACCCACTGTTATAATCCTTGGGCCGGTGCAAAGAAATCAACTACAAATCTCATGAGGCACGGGGCACGCTGACAACAAACACAAAGGAGATAGCGTTCCTAGTGGCTCTTTGGATGTGTAGTCCTTGAACCCCACGCTTCCCACACCTATAGGCACCCATCCCCTTCCCCAGGGACACTTACACAAGCAAGAAGCATATCTTCAATATGCTCTTTTGTGTGGTAGTTGTTATGTGTCTGTCCATGATTGTGACCCGTTATAATTGTGGACATTTGTGATTGTGTCTGCGGCTGGGTGTACATTGTGTATGTATGCTTATGTTGATGTTTGTGCAGACTTATCGACGTATATTTTAGTGGCTATGATTGTAAGGGAAAGTTTAGGGTATCTGTCCAACCTATGACCCCTGGTGGCACAGTTGTCAAAGCACTTAGCTACTAACAGAAGGATGAGTAGTTCAAACTGTGAAAGAGGGGGCAGTCAGCCTCTGTAAGAATTTAAAGCTTTGGAAACTGTCTGGAGGCCGTTCTACATGGTCTTGAAGGGTTGTTCTGAGTCGGATGAACTCAGAGACAATCAGTTTGGTTTGAGGTTGTTATAGTTAAGGTTTTGGATCAACTTGACTGAGCCTAGATCCTCGGTGGGGGTGTGCCCGTGAAGATGAGATGGAATCTAATGTAATGACTCCCCCATGAAGGCATCTGATATGATCAGCCTGGGTCTGGTGTAACCATCTTACATGTTGTAAACTTTCGCTTCTGTGTTGTTAATGAGTCCACAGGCAACCTACAGGGTTAGGCTGAGTCAACAGCTTTTGCGGAATAAAAGAGATTAAACAAGCAAGCAAAACTTGCTTCCACCGAGAAAGAAGAGCCGGGACTGGAGTGTGTCCTTTGGGCCCAGGGCCCCTGCGCTGTGAAGCTCCCGGATCCAGGGGAAGGTTAATGCTGAGACACACGGGGAGCTCCAATGAATGCTGGGCCTACGGATGCTGAGAGGAGACAAGAACCTTTCTCCAGAGCCAGTGCTCTGAGCTCAGTCTTCTAGCTTCCTCCACTGCAGGAGGATACATTTCTGTTTATTCAAGCCATCCACCTGTGGTGCTTCTGTTAAGAGCAGCTCTAGAGAACTGAGACAGGATTCATCTACACGACGAACTCTGACAAATATTCTCTTATCAGTCTTTGCACTGACTGTTACTGTACTTCTGCCAAAAATAGTGTATCCCTCCCACCATAAACAAACGTGTTACTGCCCAGTCTACTGGGATTACAGCAAGCCTGTGTGTTACAGGGTAGAACGATGCTCCGTAAGGTTTCCTTGACTGGACTTTTTCCAGAAGCACATTGCCAGGACTTTCTTCCGTGCTCCGCCGAATGGCTTTGAACCTTTAGGTTAGCAGTCTCTCAGAAACCACAAGCATTCCCCAAAGTCCACAATAGTGTTACAAATTCTAGCTCTAAACTGGAGAATCCTGGGCTTTAATCATGTTTCTGCTTCTTCTTGGCCCTGTGAGTTGGAGCTAGTCTCTCTCTGTTTACTTTCTAGAGTTACGTGACAATGGGTATACTATATCTGATTGGAAGAAGATGTTGGCTGTGTACCCGCACCTGCATGTACCGCTTGGTAAAATTCTCTTAACGTTGTCCTTTCCTTTTCTCTAGTGAAAGTCCTGCTCAGGCTTACTGCTTTCTCTCTGTGCCCACAGTGGAATTCTGATGCTTAACCCATGGTCCCTCTTCTCTTGCAACTGCAGCAAAACAGACTCCAGTCCTCGTCTCATAAAGATGATTCCAATAAAAGGACTGTCATGGATTGAACCATGGCCCCCTCCAAAATATGTGTCAGCTTGGCCGGGCCATGATCCCTAGAGTGGCAATTATGTGATCTGAGGGGATAAACCAGTAAGAGGATTAAGAGGAGTTGCAGTGCCTTGGGAGTCCTGGTGTGGCGCTGTGGGATTAGCACTGGACTGCTAACCACAAGGTTGGCGGTTCAAAACCAACAGCAGCTCTTTGGAAACCCGATACAGGATGGGAAGGTATAAAACCCTTAATTCCATCACAGCTTTGACCCACTGTCTGGGAGGTCCCCAGGAGCATGGCCTGTAACGCCTTTCATCTTACAAGACATAAAAGGGAACTCCACAGAGGCCACCATGCGCAAGGACCCAGCAATCCTGGCTGACACTCACTATGGCTACGATTGAGAAATTCACTAGGTCTGAATCGAAGCAAGTGGGCAAATCAGAAGGCAGCAGCGCCCGCAGCGGTGCCTCCAATATGCACTGTACAGCCCACGAGCATTGCCTCCAAAATTGTAAGAGAATAAATTTCTGTTTGTGAAAGCTACCCCCTTGTGACAATTTTGTTATAGTGGCAGTAGATAGAGTGATACGGCTCTTGTCTTTGCGATTACAAGATGCAGGAGCATCCGGAGACACACTCAACCCTGGGTGACAGGGCTGGTCTGACCCCAAGAGCCTGGGGTCTTGTCCTTAGGAGGGAGTGAGTGTGCTCCATGTGTGGAAGCTACCATCTTTTTTCCACATGCAAAGCACTCATGTATATAGCATGCATATAACACACATGGTGTAGATAGGAAACGAATGCACAAAGGGTGGTGCTATTTGGGGGGGAACACACATATAACACATGTGTTATTTGCATAAAACATGTTATCTTGTGTGTATATATGTATATGTAACATATATATCTACAAATCTACATGTTAAGGACCCAAAGGGGTCAACTGTGGAAGACTGCTAATTGACTGTCCCTAACTATTGTCTCCTGGTGTGGCACTATAGGGTAAGCACTGGACTGCAAGCCACAAGGTGGGTGGTTCAAACCCACCAGCTGCTCCTCAGAAACCTTACACAGAGCTTCTGTAAGTTGGAACCCCCTTGACAGCACTTAACAAGGATTATCTCATTTTTAAACAATGTCATTTTGTCAAGTCAGTTCTGACTTATAGCAACCCTATGTAGAGCTTCCAAGGAGTGACTGGTGGGTTTGAACTTTCTGCTCCCGTGAAGATTTACAGCCTCGGAAACCCTATACACAATTGCTATGAATTGGAACTGACTCCAAGGCACATAACCACCACCACCATCGCCACCTTGGTGGATAGGTTTCAGAAGGAGCGTCTACCCTAAGAAAGACTAGGAAGAAAGTCCTGGTGATCTGCTTCCAAAAATCAGAGCACCCTATGGCTCACAAGAGAATATTGTCTGATAAAGAGCTGGAAGATGAGCCCCTGGGTTGCACAGTGGACTCGATCTGCCAACAATGGTGAAGATGGCACAGGACTAGCTCTCGTCTCTTTCTGTTGGAACTAGGGTCGCTATGAGTTGGCAACTAACAACCACCACCACCCTGAGACCAGGTTCTTATGAATAATAGTAAAGAACTCCACAGGCACCTGCAGGGGGAGCATTTATTTTGAGCTACAGATAGGATAACCTCTCGGCTGACTCCCAAGTGTGTGGAGGTGGACCACAGCCTGGCATCCTCACTTCCAGCGGCCTCCCACGCGGCCCTTCCCTGCCCCCTTCCGGCTGTAGAATAAAAAAGGAGTTTCAGGAAGAAAGGCCTCCCCAATCTCTAAGAGCTCCAGGTCCTCAGTTAAAAAACAAAATCCATCCCTCCAAACATCCAGTCTCCCAGTCCAGAGCACATGTTGGGCAAATGCATCCAATTGCCCTCTCACTGGAATGCAAGGAGTCAGAATCCATTGGAAGGAGGTGGGTGGGTCTTCTCATGCAGGGTCACAGGTGGGGGTGAATGGTTGATGTTATTGACAGGTGGGAGCTGATGTTTTTGAGCAACTGTAGGGTGTTCAGGCAGATACTGATAAATGTTTTGAGCACAGAGGATGGGGAAGGACGACGTAAGTAGTTTAAGGATAGGTAACATAAAAGAGAGACTGGGGAAGGTGGAGCGAAAGAGAAAATTAGGAGAAAGGAGAGAGAGGAGAGGAAAGAGGCAGAGAGAGACAGACTGAATCACAGAAGCAACATGCAAATATTCAGAAGGAGACCTTCCCCTGTACACAGAGAGATGGACAGAGAGGGAAACAGGTTGAATCACAGAGATACAGGAGGAGGAAGAGGCAAACCAAACCATCAGAGACAAAGAGAGCTGAGACACACACACAGAGGCAGGGGACAAAAAAATAAAGGGGAAATGACAGGGACGGACACATTTACAACAAGAAAGAGACACGGGGAGAGAGAGAGAGAGAGAGAGAGAGGCCCCAAAAGACCAGAGAAGAGGAAGAGAGAGAGAGAGCACAGGATGCAGAAAGGAGAGAGAAGTGAATGGATGGGAAGGAGGAAGTGATGAAGGAAAGGGCGGGAGGGCGGGAGAAGACCAAGGAGCCATGGTCACTGAGCAGGGGCAGGTAGGGTGGACTATCAGAACCCCGCTGGCTCATACTCACAACTTCTGGGCATGGCTGATGCGGTTGTAGAGCACGTTGATCTGTGGAGGCAGGAGAGAGATGATGGGATGCCCAGTGGCCAGTGGGGACAGACCATCCACCCTCACTGGTCCAGTCCACCCAGCTCAGCCTCCTACAGGTACGGGTCTCACCTCATATTTTTGCTGCTTCATCTTCTCCATCAAGTCAAACTTCTCTGACTCCAGCTGGTGGATCCAGTCGGAAAGCTCCTGGGCCTTGTCCCTGGTGGAGAGGAAAGGGTTGTGATGAGGGGGAGCTCTGGGCTCAGGGATAGTGAGGGACTTGGGCCCAGACAGAATGACAGGACTCACCAAAGACATACAGCAAGTCTCTGAATTCCATATTACTGGAGTCATTTTGCTAAACATTGAGGTCAAATATTCAAACACATTTAAAACAAGAACTTTCTCCACACCTGAAATGGAGATTTTGCATTCCCTCAATGGAAGCTCAGGCTCTGGAGTCAGAGGGTTCAAAGGCCAGCTCTGCCATTCTCTGTTTTTTAGCCTATGTGCTCAATGACTTCTCCTAGGGCCCTGCTTCCTTCTCTTAAAAATGAAGAAATAAAAATATGAAAAAGATGGCTGGTTGCCTACCCAATCAATATCTCTTCTACCGTTCTGTCTTAGAAGCAAAACCGTGTACAACGGATGCAGTTGTAAAACTGTATTTCTCATTCTCCCCTGAAGGTAGGGGTGACTAATGGAATGGGATGGGACTTTTTGAAAAGCCTTTGGGGGGTTTCCCTTGCAAATTTCTTTCTGCTATTTAGATGTTGAACATGATGGCTTGGAGCTTCTGCAGCCACTTTGACCCAGAAGGTAACTTTATGGTTATTACTACTGTCTACAAAGGAGCTCTGGTAGTGTAGTGGTTATGAATCGGGCTGTTAACAGCAAGGTCAGCAGTTCAAAACTACCAGCTGTTCCGCAGGAGAAAAATAAGGCTTTCTCCTCCCGTAAAGATTTACAGCCTCGGAAACCCTGTTACAGGGTCACTATGAGTCGGAAGCATCTCCATGGCACATAATCACAACCACCACCAGGGATTCTGTGCCTTCAGGTTTCTTCTATGTGGCAAACGAAACCCCTATGTTTTGGTACTATAGTCAGACGTCAGTATTCCCATCCAAGCTTCATCTTATCTGGTAAGATGTAGGGATGATGGATGTGTGTCCTATGGGACATACTCAATGAAGTTAGCTATTGTTATTCATTTTGTTATTATTAGCATTCCTTGTTTCCTTCTTGCCAGTGAAATGGCTTTCAAATACCCCCTCTTCTATGATACATTTAAAACCAAAAAAAAAAGTAACTTTTTATTGTGAATTGAGTGAAGGTTTACAGAGCAGATCATCAGTTCTACATTCAACAAATCCTACACTTGGTTTCATTTCAGTGATTGCCATCTCCTCAGGGTAACCTCACTTCCCCCCTAGGCTTCTTGTTTCCCTCCCTCCTCCTCTCCCAACCCTTCTGCACTTTGTGCTTAGGTAAATAAAGGCTGCATTTTGATCTCGAATGGTTGACCAGCCATTCTGTGATGTGTCTATGTTGTATTTTATTTTTAAACATATAACACTCATATGACCCTAGTTATTCTATCTCATAAATAACATTTAGGTAACTTGAGATCCTTTAAAAAAAAAAACTTAATGGGGCACAATTTATGAGTGGGTGCATGGTGGGGGATGGGGAAAAAGAGAAGGAAGTGGTAAGACAAATACTTAACCAGTTGTGATCCAATCTATTTTGACTCAGGCTGGCCCTATCCATGTGTGTCAGAATAGACCTGTGCTCTATAGGGTTACTGGTGACTGGTCTTTCTTCTGAGGTAGCCAACTGTGTTGCCCGACTGCACCACCCTGGGACCCCATCACTGATACTGTTGTTGTTGGATCCCATCCAGTGGATCCCGATCCATACAACCCCATGTGTTACGGAGAACTGCCCAGAACGTTTTCTTAACTGTACTCATTTAATAGAAAGTAGGTAGCCAATCCTTCCTACTGTGAGTCAGCCTGTGGATGGGTTCTAGCCACCAACCTTTTAGTTAGTATATGGGTACCTACTCTTGGCACCACCAGAGCTGCTTGCTATTAATTTTAGCACCCACATTTTGTGACTGTGGTCTGTGGTCTGTGGGCTCTGGTAGGTGATATGCAAGGGAGAAGGATGAGCAGGAAGCTAGATACATGACCCTGCCAAATTTACGAGGTGTTGTTTACCTAATAATCCTCACACTTTTTTTAAAGAAGTTAAAACAAAAATTTTACTGAAGGAATAGAATCAATGGGGAGCAATTACAGACATCCATGCAAGATGTGCATTCCTCCAAATGGCAGGGGGAGGATAGTACAGGTTTTAAAAGGAGAAATAGATTCAGAATTTGTGCCTGCAGGCAAGTAGAGGGCCTTGGTTAAAGTGAGAAAGGATTATTAAAGGACTCACCTAACCAATGTTAATATTCTCATTTGGAGCATTCTGAGATTGTTACATTGTAGAGTAAATGTAACAAAGCTTTAGATCAGGGGCTAATTCTCTGTTACATTTCAGTCTGTCTCCTTATCCCTACAAACTCAGTCTCAGTTACAATTTTACAAAGGGGGTGTGGCGCTGCAGATCGTGCACTGCAACAAGGTGGGTTTGAACCTTTAGATCTGGGGTTCAAACTCACCAAGTGCTTCTCAGAAATCTTGTACAGGGTTATTATGAATCAAAACCAACTCCATGGCACTTAACAACAATAGAAAATCCTCTGTAGTGAAATTTTAATTTGGGGAGTTAGGATTATGAACTAAGGCTTAATAAATACCTGTTTTACTTAAACAAAACTATGTGCAGATTCTAACTTCATTTAACATGATTAGTTCTATCTCCTGTCCTCCAGCGGACCAAGGACATTTCTCTGGGGCCAGTAACACAAACATTCTTAACAGTAATGATTCATGTAGGCCCCATCTTTGAAGATGTGGCAAGAATTTTCCAGCAGAATCCTTTGTCCAGTGGGACTCTCGGTTCTCTCCTTCATATCCCAGCTAGATTCCAGCCCAGGACAGTGCTGTTTTGGGATAAGTCACAATAGGGAAGACAGCTGAACGACATTTCTTCACGTGGGATATGACTCATAAAGTCAATACTTTCAACCATGCCAGAGGGAACTCTCCTCCACATAATAGTTGTGTGACCTCAAGCATGTCACTTCACTTCTCTGGGGCTGGCTTTTCCTGCGGAAAAGTCTGCGGAGCACAGTGGTTCTCAATCACACATGGGACGCCATGCGTTGGAGGTGATTCCACAGCAACTAACTGGTTAGTACAACAACATTCTTCACAGAAAAGGCAACAAAGGCCCAGAGAGGGCGAGCCACTTGTCCAAAGCCACACAGCACTGGGGGTGTCCTGCAGTGTTTTGGGTCTTTATTTCCCTGTCTCACTTCACATGATGGCCTTCCAGGCCCGGAGCTCCAGAGACACCTACCGAAGCTGGTCCTCGCCCATGTAGTCGATGTTCAGAGGCTTTTTACGCTCAGAGAGGATCCGCTGTTTTGTCTCTCGTCCTGTCTGGCGCTTACCCCGCTTTTGTTCTGCCTGGAGATTAAGAGGGGATATTTTGAACACAGAACACTGAAATTCCAGAGTGCTCCCCAAGTCAGGATCCTTCCACAGACCCAGATGTCCAACCCACAACCCCTTCTTTCCTCGGACCCAGGAACCCTGATCCCCAGCCCCTTCTCCCTCAGACCAGGGTATCTAGGCCTCCCACCTTTTCCTCTCTCAAACTAAGAATGCAGACCCCCAGCCCCTCCTTCCATCCATCAGAAACCAGAAGTCTGTACCCTTAACTCCCTATCTCTCTGGGACCTTAGGGAAACTGAACTCACCTTGACCAAATAACCTCCGAAGTGGGCTCCCATGTTGGACAGAACCTTCTTCTTTTTAGCATCATCCTCAGCACGCTTCTTGGCCTCTTCCTCTTCTTTCCGCATCTTCTCCTCCTGTGGGAAGAAAAGGGTTACCTCATGGCCTCCTGGGACTATGGGGGCAGGTTGCCTGGGATGGGGAGGGGGGCTCAATGCAAAGCCAACAGACAGCAATGCTCAAAGGCAAATACTGAAATCTACTAGAGATGGCAAAGGCGCTCTGCTAGCGTAGTGGTTAGGAATCGGGTTGTGAACCACAAGGTCAGCAGTTCGAAACTACCAGCGGTTCCGCAGGAGAAAGATGAGGCTTTCTGCTCCCGTAAGGATTTACAGCCTTTCGAGTTGGAACCGACTCCACAGCACACAACAACAACAGCAACTAGAGCTAGCAAGGACACAGGCTTGAATCTTTGACTAGGTTGTGTGACTTCCTGAAAGTCCCTTCCATTCTCTGAGCCTTAATATCCCCCTCGATAAAAATAACGCTGTGTGTGTGTGTGGGGGGGGCTTACTTGTTTCTTATACATCCCTCCAGCCTGAAGTGGCTAATGGTGAACATCGCTGTGTTACCTCAGTTGAGGCGCTCAACCTCTCTGAGCCTCAGCTGCCCATCTATGAACTGAAAATGATTGTGTTCAGAGGGTAAGGAGGGGATTGGGTGATGGAGAGAGAGTTAGGGCATTAAAAAGACTGATGACCTTGAGCCCAGAATGCCTAGGGAAGACATGATGTCTCTGATACAGTCCTTTTGTCATGGCCAAACTCCCCACCTATAGGGTGGGGAGACAAGTTCAATGATTCTTTGTATGTCCAATGTTCCCCATTTATATTAGTTTCTGACTACTGATGTAATTTACAAGTGTTGTTAAGTACCTTCCGGTTGGTTCTAACTCATAGCGACCCTGTATAGGGTTTCTGAGGCTGTAAATCTTGGTCAGAAATAAGAAATGGGTCCTGCCGGGGTAAAATACAGGTGTTAGCAGGGCTGTAGTGCTTTGGGAGATTCAAGAAGAGAATTCTGTTTTCTTGCAATTTCCAGTTTCTAAAGGCCACCTAACACTTTTAGGTTTAAAACAAAACAAAATCCAAGATGCCACTTTGAGGAGTATGGTGTACCTGACTCATGCCATGGTATTTCCAATCACCTCGTGTGCATGGGAAAGATGGACAATGAATAAGGAAGACCAAAGAAGAATTGATGCCTTTGAATTCTGGTGTTGGCAAAGAATATTGAAAGTACCATGGGCTGCCAGAAGAACAAATCTAAGGGTGTTCACTAGGATGACCAGTGTTCACTGCTGAGTTATGGGATTTTTGGTGCCAAACCAGCAAAACCCAAAGCAAACCAGAACAAGATGATCACCCTAGTATCCAGAGAAAGATGCACAGATGGTTGGGAAGAGAAAATCTGGATCCTTGTGATTTGGTTTGAATTCTATATCCAGCCATGTCTGAGGCAAGCCAAGTCCTAGATTTCAAGTTACATGGGCCAATACAATTTTTGTTTTACTTAATCCATTTGCATTGAAATTTATGTCTCTTTAGACAAAAAAAAAAAAAAAATCTTAATGTGGCGCTGTAGGATCAGCACTGGGCTTTGAACCACAAAGTGGGCAGTTGAAACCCACCAGCTGTTCCTCAGAAACCCAATACAGGGCTGTTAGGAGTCAAAAACAACTCGATAGAAATTAACAACAATGTAGCATGGGAATTTCTCCATCTACAGTAGTAGCCTTGGGCTCCCAGGAAGTTGGGAGGGAGGCACCCACCGCCAGCTTGGCCTGCCGCTCACGCTCCTTCTCGGTTCGGAAACGCTGTTGTTCGGCTCTTTCAGCCCGGCGTCGCTCCTGAAGAAGGGAACAGAAGAGGGATACAGAGATCACGCCCTGGGTTCCCCAGAGTGTACCCCAAACTTCAAACCATTCCTGAAATTCTCTCCTCTGCAGTTCTAGACATCATTCTTTCCATCTCCCTTGATCCAATAAATGTGCCTGGGCTGAAGAAAGAATCTGGGGAGTCCCATCTCCGCTGACTCACAATTCGACCTTTCAATGCTATGAGCTCTTCTTCCTCTTTCTTCCGCTGGTCAAAATGCACATCGATGAGCGTCTGCAATTCCAGCAGATCTTTTTCCATGCGCTTCCGGTGGATGTCCTGCAGGACAGAGGGTGGGCGCCCCGTTATTTCCAGGGCAGTGCAATGTGCACCCTGGAGAAAGCGAAAGCCTCTCGGCGGCTCTCAGGAACGTCAGGTTCCCCACCCCCCTCACCCTCCGGTGTGCACTAAAGCAGGTTTTATTCGGTTACATCTACTGCCAGCAGGTGGCAGTAAGACACCTTCTGACGCTAGCGAAAGAGCGCATTCTCGTTTGCACAGACTCGGTATGAGCTAGTGGCAGCGTCTAGGGATGGGATATGGATTACTTACATCGAAATCAACGCGTTCCCCTTCTGGGATCTTTGGGGGGATCAGTGGAGGCACCACAGGACGACTGGGTGGACAGAATGAGAGAAAGAGCATGAGCTGTCTGACCACCACCCCCAACCAAACTGCAGGGCTACAATGCTCAACATGGTAACCACTAGCCACACGTGGCTCCTGAGAACCGGAAAAGAGGTTCATTAGAATTGAGATGGGCTGTATGTGAAATACACATACCAAATTCCAAAGACTTAGCTGTTGGTTAGTGCCATCCTGTCAGTTCCTACTCATGGAGGGTTTCCGAGGAGCAGCTGGTGGATTTGAACCACTCACTCACCTTGCAGTTCAAACTGACCTTGCGGCCCAGTGCTTATTTTACAGCACCACACCAGGATCTTCCCCCCAAATAATGTAGACTAGCTCATCAATAAATCATGTATGGATACATGTTGAAATGATAACATTTTAGATATAACGAGTTGCATAAATGATACTATCAAAATTAATCTTACTGGTTTCATTTTACTTTTTTAAAATGTAACTACTACACATGGGCTGTCCTCGGTTTGAACTGCAAGCAGCCACTCCTCCTAAACCCTACACAAGGTCACCATGAGTTGGAACCTACTCCAAGGCACAACTATAACAGGAAAAGTTTAAAGTTGGTATGTGGCTGGGTGAGCTTTCATGGTCTCCACTGGCCTAACTTAGGGTCCTCGGAGTCTGCGATGGGTCCCTAAGAGAACAGACCCTGTGCACATTTCTCTGCCTTCCTCCATCATCGAGGACAAATACAGTAACTTCATCTGTACTGCTCTGGTATCCTGGGTTAACCGCTCGCTCTACCCATCACTGTGTCTGCGTCAGGTAGACAGAGAGGAAAGTCCTCAGGACACGTTGGCTGATAGAAGGATTTGCTGATTGTCCTTCTTTTCTTTCAATCCCCCCACCACAACGCCCCACCTTCCTTCTCTACTTTCTCTCAGTGTCTCTGGTGGTGTGAGGAAGAGATATTTAGGAGGACAGGACCCAACTGTCCCCCACCCCCATGCAATAGGATCTCACCTGGGTTTAGGGCGCTCCTCTTCTAATGTAGGTAGGTGGGGATACAAAGAGATAATTAGCAAGCGTTTAAGATGGAGGTGGGACCTGAGGCTCCCTGGAGAGGAAATTCTCCAAGCCTTGGTCCCCCAGAATCCAGTGCCCCCTTTCTATCCCTCTTAGGAAGGGCGATGGGGATGAAGAAAAGGGGAGAAGGGAAGCCAGGGTTGGCATCAAGGAGGAAGAGGGTCACACGCATCAGATATACATTCAGAACTGGTGTGGGGTTTTCCCCCTTCCCTTCTAGGAACCCAGGAGTCCAAACCCCCAGATCCCCCTCTGTTAGTACCCAGAGAGCTAGCCCTCCTCCGTAGAGAACTAGCAATGCGGGACTCCACGCCTTCTCTTCTTTCAAGGATCCAGGTCCCCTCCCCGCTCAGCAAAGAGGAATCCCCACTCCTAGCTCTTGATATTTCTGCAACCTTAGAATCCAGCCCCCAACCTTTGAATGTATATGACGGACAAATAGAACAGACAGAGTCGGGGGCGAAGACGAGAGGGAATAGGGTGGTGTCTCTCCGCAAACACCCAACCTTTCTGTAAGTATTTCTGCAGACAGAGGAAGAAGGTTTGGGTGTCGGTCCCTTTAAGAAGGAAGGGAAGGGCTTAAAGCCATTGCCGCGCAATTTCCCTTCCTGGCCACAAGGAGGCGCGTAGGTCCTCCGGGTCTTTAAAGGGCCGGGTCTGGGGCGGGCGCGGGAGTGGGGAACGCATCGTAGAGGTCAGGCCCGGAAGATATCCGGGATCTCCCCGGGACCCCGAAATCTGTCTCGGGAAGCGAAGCGGTCGTGGTTACCTCGCTCGACCACCGGCTCCGGCTCCTCTGGGGCTGGGGAGGGGGCAGGAGGAGAAGCGAGGATTTGGGGTGCAAGGGAAGGGGAGCCGAGGGGAGACAGGGAGGCCACGCCCGGATGGATGCAGGAGGGGAAGAGAAGGGAGAAAGGGGAGAGGCTTAATGTTAAAGACAGTGGAGAGACCCTGGGGAGCGCCCCCTCCCCAGCCCAGCTGTCATCGCTCTTGGCCCTCTACGTCACTACCCCCCACCCAAGTCACCGGATTCCTGGACCCCCGCGTCCAGCTGGGGACCTGCAGGACCCAAGACCTCACCTTCCTCTTCCTCCTCCTCCGCAGCCTCTTCTTCTGCAAATGGGGTGAGGACAGAAAATATGAGGTGTGAGGGGATCAAGTATCCAGCTTAACACCAAAACATACACCGCTGCAGTCAGTGGATTCCGACCCACATGACCTATAGTACAGAGTAGAACTGCCTCCTTGGGTTTTGGAGGTTGTCAGTCTTTACAGATTATCACGTCTCTCCCCGTAGACTGGCTGGTGAGCGCTTTAACCACTGAGATATTACCTAAGTTAAGAGATCCCTAAAACACAATGTCCCTAGATTCTGATTATCCATTTAATACCCCCACAATTATAACACCAGTAAATCCTCCTATCTCCAGATTCTCAGCTCCCAATATCTGATAGTCCCAGATTCTAAGACTCCAAGTTCTGTTAGCCTCAGACGCTGAACTCAAATTTCTGTTTGGTGTTAAGTGCCGTTGTTGACTTGGTTCCAACTCATAGCGACCCTGTATCGGATTTCGGAGGAGTGGATGGTGAGCTTGGAACCTTCTACCCTACTGTTCAAACCGACCTTGCAGTCCAGCAGTGCATTAACCTACAATGCCAATTTAGGCACCCCAAAATCCTGTTACTCAGGTTTCTGAGGTGAAGGGACCTTCAGACGAGGCTGAGGGCTAGGAATGAGTACAGCAAATGGTCAGCGGCCAGCTTTCTAGACTCTCCACTCGGCTGCAGGAGGCGCCGAGAGCTGACCCATGCTGCGGTTCAGGCATTGGGCTGCAAACTTCAAGGTCTGTGGTTGGAAGTCACCAGCAGTTCACGGGAAGAAATGTGAAGTATCTGCTCCCCTCCACATTGACAGTCCCCAAAACCCTATAACAAGATCTCTGAGTCATAATGGACACAATCCCTCCTCCCTCCCATTGGCAAAGATCCACATAGGTCCCTGAGATCAGCCCCTCTGAACTCACCTTCTTGCTGCTCCCTGAAATCCGGTGAGGCGGGGCGTGAGGGGGAGAGAGGGGGCAGTTTAATGTATGCTGGGTGAGAGCCGCCTGCCCTCCCAGTCTCCAGACCCTCACCCCTCTCCCCTTCCTGGCACCCTTACTCACTCATCATAGTCCTGCTCTTCGTTGTCGGACATCCTGGAGTGACCTGAGGGCCGAGGGAGGGGTCCTGAAGGAAGGAGGAGTGGGGGTCAGTACTCCTGGGTCTGAGGGAGGAGGAGGCTGAGACTTGGCCTTCTGGGCCCTGTATGAGGCCTAGATTCTGGGAGGTGTGGTCTGGGCCAGCCCCACTGTGCAGCCCAGCTGTCCTCCTTTGTCTCTGGCAGGTCCTTGGGAACCTGATCTGTGAGGATTAGGAGGAGTTATTTGGGAAGGGACAGTGGCCTAAAGACAATAGGCACACCACCCACAGGTCTATTTTGGGGGGGTGGCGTAGACCATGAAGCAGAGGACATTTCCTAATAAGGGGCTTGAGGGGGCTTCTGGATGATCCGGCACACATACACCCTGGGCCAGCTGGCTGGGTGTACACCCACCTGTCCCCCTTGTTCACCTTCACGCATGCCCATGTGCTGTTTCAGCAAGAGTGGTTTCTACTCCTAGATCTCATCCTGATTCCCAAATGCTTCAATTTCCCAGTCTCTGTAATCCCCCACTTTCCAAGATGCCCAGTTGTAAGATATCCATAAATCCCAACATCCCCAGAATATGACCCCACCACCATTTCATGTTCCCTGATTCTACACTAGCAAATCCTCATTATCTCTGGATTTGGAGAGACCCAATTTCAGATATTCACAAATTCTTTCACCCTCAAATCTCAAGACCCTCAGATTCCAAGACTCCAAATTATGTTACCCCAAAATTCTAAGATTCTCAAACCCTGCCTTCTCCAACTCCAATTCAAAATCCTTATTTTCCAGATTCAGATATCCCAATTTGAACCCCCAAAATTAGTACCTTAAACCCTAAGGCTCTATTCTGGCATACCAAAATGCTCTAGCTGTCCTTTCTCAGACCTTCAATTCTGAACCCCCAATTCTGAATCTACCAAATAGCAATCCTTTTGTTTCTGAGACCCTAATTCTTGATGCTCTAAATTATGAGCCCGAACAACTCACTATCCCGAGGACTCTCTTAATTCTGAACTCTCCAAATTATGAGAGCCCAAAGTTCCAATATATGAGCTCTGAAGGCCAAATCACGACACCCTCAAAACGGTTGTTGCAAAGTGCCATTAAGTTGGTTCGCACTGATAGTGACCCTGTATGAGGTTTCCAAGGAGTGACTGGTGTGTTTGAACCACTCGCCTTGTGGTTAGCAGCCCAGTACTTATGCTACAGAGCCACACCAGGACTGTACCCCCAAACTGTTGTTGTTAATGCCCTTGAGCTGGTTCAGACACATAGCAACCCTGTATAGGGTTTCCGAAGAGCTGCTGGTAAATTTGAGCTGCCAACTACAAATGCTGGTTGCTGCCCTAGACATATTCTGAGACCTCAATTACTAAAACTCCAGGTTCCAACACCGCCTTCTCTCCACCACCTTCCCTATCTCTTCCACCCTTGTCCTGTCCAGTCCCTGAGGATGTTGCCGCGGAGACTCAAAGAATTCTCTCCTTACCTAAGGCTGGGTCTTTGGGTCTTCGGGTGTTGTAAAGGGTTGAGCCGAGTGTGTTGGAGAGTGGCTGAAGCGCCCCTGGGTTTATAGTCACCAGCTCAGCCCCGCCTAGGGGAAGAGGGAGGGGAAAGAATTCTTTCCCCCAAACACAGGTCCTCCCTCTGAGTCTGCCCTGCCCTCTCTGGCTTCAAATTCAGGAGCCTGACTCTGGGTTCCTACCATGCTCTGTGCTGTCTCCATTATAGGCACATTGGCTGGGTTTTGAAGTCATAAGGGCACAATAATCTTTGTCAGTGGGTCAATTCCGATTCATGTGTTACAGATGAGACACTTGCTCCACACAGTTTGTTATGGATTGAATGGTGTCCCCCCAAAATCTGTGTCATAATTCCTTATCCCTATACCCCTTATCAAGGAGTTCTGGTAGCGTACTGATTACGAATTGGGCTGTGAACCGCAAGGTCATCAGTTCAAAACTACCAGCTGTTCCGCCAGAGAAAGATGAGGCTTTCTGCTCCTGTAAAGATTTACAGCCTCGGAAACCCTGTACAGGGTCGCTATGGGTCGGAACCAACTCCACGGCACATAACAACAACTACAATACTCCTTATCAATAGAGAAAAGATTGAAGTTGTCAAGCAGTTCACTCTTATTGGATCAACTATCAACACTCATAGAAGCAGCAGTCAAGAAATCAAAGGACGTATTGCATTAGGCAAATCTGCTGCACAAGACCTTTTTAAAGTGTTGAAGAGCAAAGATGTCAGCTTGAGGACTAAGGTGCGCCTGACCCAAGCCATGGTATTTTCAATAACCTCATATGCATGCGAAAACTGGACAGTGAACAAGGAAGACCATAGAAGAACTGATGCATTTGAGCTATGGTGTTGGAGGAGAATATTGAAAGTGCCATGGGTTGCCAAGAGAACCAACAGATCTGTGTTGGAAGAAGTGCAGCCAGAGTGTTCCTTGGAGGCCAAGATGACCAGACTTTGTCTCTCATACTTCAGACATATTGTCAGGAGGGACCAGTCGCTGGAGAAGTATATCATGTTTGGTAAGGTGGAGGCTCAGAGAAAAAGAGGAAGACCCCCAACAATCTGGACTGATAAGTAGTAGCAACAATGGGCTCAAACGTAACAATTGTGAGGAGGATGGCTGAGGACCTAGGACCAGGCAGAGTTTCCTTCTGAATTGGAACAGACTCCGCAGCACCTAACTTGCAGGACAGTCCAGGATTGGACTGTGTTTCATTCTGTTGTTCATATAGGGTCACTCTGAGACAGAACCAATTCGAGGGCACCTACCATCAATATTCTTGTGGATGTAATCCGGTTTTCCTTGTTATGTTAATAAGACTGGATCAGCATCAGCGTGTTGTTGTTGGTAAGTGCAGTTGAGCTGGTTCCAACTCATAGCGACTTTATATAGGGTTTCCAAGACGCAGCTGGTGGGTTTGAACTACCACCAACCTTGTGGTTAGCAGCCCAGTGCTTATCCTACAGTGCCACACCAGGACTCCTTTATCAGTGTATGGTGCATCTTAAACCAATTACCTTGGAGATTCAGGCACACGTCTGGGTTACTGTGAGTTCGATTTCAGACTACAGTAACAAAGCAAGTGTAACCCTAAATCGAGTCGTACACATTTTTAGTTTTTCATTGCTTATCAAAGTTGTTCACACTATACCGTAGTACTGTGACATTACCGAGGTGTGGCACAGAGTCACAAAGAGAACACACGTTGCTGGAAAATGGTACCAAGAGATTTGCTCAAAGCAATATTGTCACAAACCTTCAATTTGTAAAAAAAAAACCTAGAACAAAAACGCAGTGCCTACGAAGTACAGTAAAGCGAGGTGCGATAAAAGGAGTTGTTCCTGTATCATAAACCCAGGGGCTTAGGCAGAGAAAGGGAAGCAGACACAAATAAAGAAGCCACTTACAAGCTTTCAAGAGGGACCCTAGATCCAGAGGGTGTGGAGGAAGGTAGAATCTCCACTGAGTAGTATCCAATCTGACTAGCCGGGGCTGATGAAATGAAATGCAGATGGGTCTCTTGTGATACAATAGTGAAAATTGTTATCAGGACTGATTGTGAGGGTTGGAAATGTAAAGGTAGACGCTTTGTAGCAAGGAGGGGAGTGATTAACTTGCAGTCTAGGAACGGAGGTCCCTGGGACCATCAAGGGAGAAGAGTGGAGAGCAGGACCCTACCCAGAGAAGCAGTGATGCCTGAGATGGAGGCAGAGACGATGACGTGGAGAGATAGAGCAGCTGGAGACTCTAAACCCAGAGAGGGAGAGGGGCTGTGTGCTGACGACTGAGGGGCAGGCTTGTAGTGTATACCCTCTGGTTGGTTGATGATGCATGGAGGAGATTGTAACCATGGCAATGAAGCAATATACGATAGGACAAATGTAAAACTAATGTTCTCCCATGTAAACTATCACATAATTCACACTAAAACATTAAAAAAGAAAGAAGCCACATCAATGTTCAAGGAACTTCCTCCAAAGTAACCCAGCAAGCCTTCCCCGGAGCCAGCACCCTGAATTCAGACTTGTGGTCTTGTAAGCTCTGAGAGAAGCAATTTGTCTACATTAAAACCACCCATTCCTGGCATTTCCATTACAGCAGCATGAGGGACTAAGACGGGGTTTTCTTAGCTGTAACCTTTATGGAAACAAATCAAGCCACTTTCTTCAGTGGCCCTGCTGGGTGGGTTTGAACCACCAACGTTAAGGTTAGTAGCTGAGCACAAACTGATTTGCCTCACTCACACAATAGATCTGGAAAATGTTATTCCACCAAGGGGACAGAAAGGCCAGCTTCCCTTCCCATCTGTCTGCTGCCTTTGTTTGCCTGGCCCTCGGAGCTCTGCGACCCTGGCTCAACTTTCCCTGGGATGGCCCACATGTGTATTTCTGTCTCAGCCTCCCCCCATTTCTGTCTTTGTCTCCCTCCCCACCCCTTTCTTTGTCTGATACCAGGATTCCACGCGGTTGACAACAGGTTCTAAAGTTGGGAAGCAGGTGTGTGTGTTTGTGTAAGGGGGGGTTGAATGCAACCTCATCTCCCCACCTCCATGTGACACGGATCTTTTTTAGTATCCCCACCCCCACAAGCCATGACCTTGAATTCCTCACCCCCACCCCCCTAGCTTCTCCTATCTCTGGCTTTGTTCCCCTGATGTTCTCTGGGTCTCTCTTTGGGAATCTCTTCATCTCTGTCTGTCTGTACCTGTGTCTGTCTTTCTCTGGTTGTGTCTGCTCATGTCTCTTTCTGAGTTTTTCTGGGTGTCTGTGTCTCTACATTTCTCTATTTCTGTCTTATAGGGTGTCCGTGTGTATCTCTCTCTCTGTTTTCTCTTTTCTTTCTCAGTATCTCTTTCTCTTTCTTTAGCACACTCTCTCTGACGCAGTCTATTATGATACGTCTCTCTCTCTTTCTCTGTGTGTGTTCATCTCTCTCTTTGGACCTTGGACTTAGTATCTCTGTTCAGTATCCCATGGGGCAGAGAAGTCTAGAATATCCCGAGTTGGAAACTCAGCTCTGCCCCTGACCCACTGTGTGTGTTTGAAGGAGACTAGCCCCCCATTTTCCCATCTCTCATTCCCAAGTTCCCAAGTGGTAGATAGAAATTCACTCCCAGCTTGGAGAGAAGCTTCTTTATTATTCCTCAGGGCCCTCCTCAGGGCCGGGGTAAGGGGCAGGTGGGCTCAGCCCTCGAACTTTTTCTTGCGGCCCTCCATTCCACTCAGCGCATCGATGTTCTTGCGCCAGTCGCCCACCTCTCGGTTTTCCTGAGGGGATGTGGCCAGATGTGAGGGTAGATTCCTGGCCTCCACTTACTCTTCCAAATATCCTCCACCTGCCCTCTAGGCTGCTGGGCTGCTCTCATATGGATCTGCTTCCCACAGACACTTCCTGTCTGCTGTATGTGCAGTCTGTCTCCCACCCATCCTCCCTGCCTCTTTGCATGACTCTTTCCTTCATACAGTACTTTCTGTCTTCCTCTTCCTGTCTCCCTCATGGACTTCCTGTCTCAATGCACTTCCTGTCTCCCACAAGCACTGCCTGTCTCTTTCATGGACGTCCTGTCTCCTACATACCCTGCCAACCTTCTCCCATGCCTCCTTCCTTCCAATGCCTCTTCGGTCTTCCCCTTCCTGTCTCCTCATGTACTATTGCCTAGTACTTCCAGTCTTCATGTTTATTTGCTCTCTCCCTAGTGTATGTCCTGTCTTTCACTTCTTGATCCACTCACATACTTTCTCATGCATTTTCTGCCTCCTTGCGACTCCCTCTCTCTTCCTTTTAGACTTCCTGTCTTCCCCTTCTCCTTCCTGTCTTCCTCTTGCATTCCCGGTGTTCCTCTGTATTTCCCACTGAGGACTATCTACCAGCTGCCTTCCCGCTCAACTCGGTGTATCACCAGCCTTCAGGCTGTGTCCTAGGATTGCTGCCCTCCCCCAAAGTCCCTCATCTCAGCACCTCCTTTCCTGGCCCTAGCCTCCACTCACCTTCTCAGTGTCCTCCTTCTTCACCTGCTTGAGGTGAGCCCGCAGGTCCAAGGACTCCTTAGACCGGGTCCCCAGCAGCGCCTGCATCATAGCATCGGCAGAGATGCGCACCCTCTTCAGGGTAGGCCGCTTAAACTTGCCCCGGAGGTCGTAGATCTTCTGGGTCAGATCTGCAATCTGGAGGCCAGAGGGGAGGTAGAGGCCCTTCCTTCTGCTTAGTCATTACTCTGTCTTTGTACCCAGCACTCCTATCCTGCCCTCCAGTACACAGGGCTCTTCCCCGCTCAGCCTTCCATCACTTTCAGGAGAAAGCCAAGCTCCTCATCCTGGAACTTGAAGCCCTCCCTGATCTTCTCCAGTTTCATTTCTCAAAACCAGAAGTCATATTCCAACCCAGCAGCATTGATCCACCATCCTTCAGTTAGTGTACCACACAAACATATGTACCGCTTCCACATCTCTTGGTCTTTGCATATGCTGTTCCCTCTGCCTGGAACAGCCTTATCTGACCACATTATACTAACTATTCTACCCTCTCCCCACCAGCTTCACATAGTTGTCTGGGGTCTCCTGGGAGTTGTAATCAAATGCAACTGCCCCAAGCATCTCACTGAAGCCTGCTGTATACTTAGTGTCTTCAAGTTACTTTTTGACTCCTAGTGACCCCATGTGATTGAGTAGAATTACTCCATAGGGTTCTGTAAGCTGCAATGTCTATGGGAGCAGATCACCAGGGCTTTCTCACTCGGAGCCACTGGGTGGAACTGAACTGCCACCTTTGGATTAGTAGAAGTGCTTAACCATCACACCACCAGGGCTCCTTCACAAACTGCCCACTGCCACCCACCTCCGTGACGTTCTTGGTAACTTTTGCTTCTACATCGTATCTCTCTTCATCCACTTTGTCCACACGGGCATGGAGCTGTCGGCACAAGTCCTGGTGGAGAGAATAGAATGGGGTGAAGGCTGGGAACCTGGTCTCCTGAGGTTGAGGGGAGAGGTAGGCTGGGGGTCAGGACTCCCGGGTCTGAGGGAGGAGGGGCTGGGGGTCAGGACTCCTGGGTCTGAGGGAGGAGGAAGGACTGGGGGTCAGGACTCCTGGGTCTGAGGGAGGAGGGTCTGAGGGACAGGACTCCAGGGTCTGAGGCAGGACAGGCTGAGGGACAGGACTCCCGGGTCTGAGGGAGAAGGGGCTGGGGTCAGGACTCCTGGGTCTGAGGCAGGACGGGCTGAGGGACAGGACTCCTGGACCTCAGGGAGGAGGGGCTGGGGGTCAGGACTCCAGGGTCTGAGGCAGGAGGGGCTGAGGGACAGGACTCCTGTACCTCAGGGAGGACGGGCTGAGGGACAGGACTCCTGGACCTCAAGGAGGAGGGGCTGAGGGACAGGACTCCCGGGTCTGAGGCAGTAGGGGCTGAGGGACAGGACTCCTGGACCTCAGGGAGGACGGGCTGAGGGACAGGACTCCTGGACCTCAGGGAGGACGGGCTGAGGGACAGGACTTCCGGGTCTAAGGCAGGACGAGCTGAGGGACAGGACTCCTGGACCTCAGGGAGGAGAAGTCTGGAAACCTGAGCATCTAGTTCTGTAGAAGGAAGAGATTGGGAGCCTGAACTCCAGGCAACTGCCAATTTAGAAGTTAGGAGCGCATGAGAACCTGGAAGAATGGACCTCCATAATGCCTGCAGGCAGCTGCAAGCCTGTTCTGGATTCCTGAGCGTCTAGGACTGGGAGATTGAACCACTAGGTCCTGAGCGGAAGGAGGGATCCTAATTGTACTTCATCCTACTGGGAGCAAAACCGGACACCAGGAACCTCAGCTCTCCGCTACCTGCAGCTCTGCGAAGCTCAGCCCAGCCAGTTCCAGAGGCTGGCACCGGCTGCTCAAGGCACGCCCCTTCTCTCCGCGCCGCTCCTCTGCCTCCTGCTCCAACTCCTGCTTCGCAATCTGCAGCATCAGCATCTGCGAGGATGGGAGGAGAGCCGCCCAAGGGTGTCACATCTGCAGTGCGCAGCCCTCTAATCCTAGGTTCGGTCCGTCCTTTGTCTTCCAGAAACCCGCTCCCTGAGCCTTAGTCCACTATTTCAAAGCCAGCTCCTTCCTTAGTCAAGACTCTGACAAAAAACCAAGTCCACCCAGTCCGTTTCCAAAGCCCCACTCTGCAAGGTTGATATCCACCATCTGAAAGTCCCACCCTCTTAGCCACACCCATGACACAAAGCACGCCCATCCAGTCTGGCCCCAAAGCGACATCTTTCAAGGTCGATGTCAATCATTTACAAACCCCACCCATTGACCACGCCTCTGATACAAAACCACGCCCACAATGTCTGGTCTCCAAAACGCTACCCATCAACGTTCATGTCCATCATCTCAAAGACCCTCCCCCCCTCAGCCACGCCCCTGATGTCACCAGGTCCACCTAGTTTGGTTCAGATGTGCTACCCCGTCAAATACCCAAAGCAGCGCTTTCACTTTTACCACAACCCCTTTGAAACCCTCCTGTGTTGCCTCCTTCCGCCTATTCTCACCTTTAGCTGCAGTTTTCTCGAGGCTGAAATCTTAGACTTTTTCTGATGGGTGAGATGGAGCAAAAAAGTTCAAGGAGGACAGTAAGGAGAATGAAAGGAAGGGCTTCAGAAACCATCCCCCAGAGCCAGAGCCAGATCCAGGCCCGCCCCCAATGTCCACGCTTAAACTACAGGAAGCCACGCCCCTCATCCTCATCCACCAATCCGAGGCTCTGACTCCACGCCGACCCCATCCGTGCATTCTCTGCGGAACTGGAATTGGAGTTCTCACTAGCCCCCGAGATACATCCTTAAGGTTATTGTAGTTAACTCTCCTTGGCTTGTTTCTGACTCGTAATGACCCTTATATAGGGTTTCTGAGGCTGTAAATATTTGCAGGAGCAAAAAGTTTCACCTTTCTCCAAGGGAGCAGTTGATGGGCTTGAACCATTGACATTGTGGTTAGCACTCCACGGCTAATTCTATACTGCCACCAAGGCTCCCATACCCATAAGCTGTTGTTGGTGAATACCACTGAGTTGATTCTGATTCAGGGGGATCCTCTATGGTGTTTACGACGAAGAGCGGCTGGTGGGTTTGAACCACCGACTTTGTGGTTAGCTGCCCAGTGCTTATCCTATAGTGTCACACCAGGGCTCCCCATAAGGTTGTTGTTGTTGTTGTTAAGTGCCATCGAGTCGGTTCCGACCCAGAGCGACCCTGTACAGGGTTTCCGAGGGTGTAAATCCTTAGGGAGTAGAAAGCCTCATCTGTCTCCCGAGGAGCGGCTGGTAGTTTCGAACTGCTGACCTTAAGGTTCGCAGCCCGATTCCTAACCACTACGCTACCAGAGGGTAGCTCTCACCAATTTGAACCAACCTAATCTTGCAGTTTGAGACACTCCTCAATGGAGTCATTTTGGGCTCCGCCCAAGTCCCCGGACCACCAGAGTCTTGGCCCCACCAATTGCAGGATCAGGTCCTTCTCGCCAATCTGAGTCCCGCCCAGCCCATAGTCCCGCCCAATCCCCGCCCACAACACTGCCCCCACCCCTCACCTTGGCATGTGGTTCGGTGGCATAGGCTCGGTAGTTGGCTGAGGAGCGGCGTCGGACTGGAGTTGGCACGGGCTATGGGCCCCCCCCACACCATGGGGGTTGGGTGAGTAAAGCCTCTTCACCACTGAGACTCTACGCCCCATCCCACGCTTCCTCTTAGGACTGCAGCTTCATCCCTTCAGCCCCCTCCCTGCAACACCCACCACACAAGGGGGTCCCCAGCCCAGGCCTTAGCCCCTCTCCTCACCGCATCACTGCTCCTGGAGGTGAAAAACGGGAAAAAGAGAGTTACTATTGAGGCCGTGTCCTGCCTGATCCATGTCCTCTGGAACCCCAGAGGCCTCACTGACCAAGAGGTCAAGGCCACCAGACCCGCTTTCCTCGGCTTCCTCTGACCCCAAAACTTGTTTTGAGACCAAGGAGTCCCTCCCCTACCTCTCATATCAGGCATCCAACCCGCAACTCTGATCCCACTCAGGAACCCAAGAGATCGCCCCCACCTCCCACTCTCTTGGGGTCTCGGGAGTCCAGGCTATCGGTCTGCACCCCTCACTCACTCATCCGCCATGCTGAGACTTGAGTCTGGAGCTGCAGGAGGCAGAAAAGGGGTAAGGGGCTCTTTGTGGGTTGAGTTGGGGGGCGTCCGGGTGACCTTGGAGGTCGCGGGGACGCCCAGCTTCCTGCCTGTCCAAGCCTCAGGGAGGACACAGAGATAAAGGGCGAGGACAGGGACTAAATATACCGCTGCTGCCTCCGCCCCTGCCCAGTCTCTGAGATAACGGGGCGCGTGAGGGGTGGGGCTGGCCAAGCTCCAGTTGGATCTCCCCTGCCACCTCAGTGACCTGGACATCCGGCCCCCTCACCACCCAGAACCAGGAGTGCAGGCCCCCAGCCCCTTCTCCCTCAGACCCAGGAGTCCAGGCCCCAGCCCCTTCTCCCTCAGACCCAGGAGTCCACCCTCAGTCTCCTTGGAGTCAGAAATCCAGTCTCCAGGCCTCTCCCCTCTATTAGCCCCTGGTGGCTGAAGAAGAGCAGGAAAGACACACCAACACACGGATCAGTGTACCACACTCTCTTTACTAGGACCACTTGGGGAATATGGACAGGCCCAGGTGAGGAGACACCAGTTGGGAATGGAGACAAAGGGGGCTGATGCAGCTGACCTGATCTTGAGTTTAGAATTTCAAAATAGGAATTTAGGATTCTGAGAGAACGTTCTAGAATTCCTAGGGATAGGCTATAGAAGACCACTAATGAATTTGTTGGTTCTGGCAACACCTCTGAGTGAGAATCTTGAGACTGAAATTGAGAATTCTATTGGTGGGTGCAGAACTGTACCAACTTTTCCACCACCTGGGGGAGATTTGGGGGCCTTGGCCCCTGGGAGTGAGGTCAGACTTTCTGGTTTGGGGGTTCTGATCCACGGGGGATATATAATCAAAGCATCCTAGGTGGAGTCAGAACCTCCAAGAGGGAATTCTGAGTCTCTGGGGGACGTATGAAGGGCTCCAAGAGACTAGGTCAGATCCTCAGGAGGAGGAACCAAGGTTTCAACGGGTGGGGCCACAGGGGAATGCACCATAACTTCAGGAGGCGGAGTTACAGCTTAAGGCAGAGCCAAGACTTCAGGGGGGGTGGAGTCATGAGTTCAGCTGTGGGGCGCTGAGTTCAGTGGGCTGAACCTTGCGTTCAGGGAGAGGAATCTGGGCTTCAAGGAGGCGGGGTCATGACTTCAGGGGGTGTGGCCATGACTTTAGGGGGTGTGGCAATGGCTTCTAGAGGCGGGGAAATGGCTTCAGAGGGCGGGACCAGAACGTCTGCGGAGGGAGTCACAGATTCCGCAGTAGCTTGGTTGGTGTCAGCGGCGGGAGGAGAGTTCCCAGACTTGTAGAAACGAGCGAAGGTCTCGGAAGACTTGATCCCAGACTGCGGGCTGAACCCAGCCGCCCGAGCCAGCTCCCCAACCCGGACGGAGAACGCCTGCAGCTGCTCCTCCCTCAGGTCTACCAGGTATCTGAAGCCAGAAAGAGGAGAGTTAGGGAGTCAGCTTCTGGATCTGGACTAGGCTGTTCCTTGCCCTTAGCTTTTTTGACTCACCGAGCTAGTTCCACAGTTAGGCATCCTCCAGGGGCCACGCAGGCCCCGAGCTCAGGACTAAGGAGATGGACCATCCTTCAGACAGAAAGAGGGAAGAGAATGGGTTCCCGAGGGGCTGGAGGCCGGTCTGAGGGATGAACAGCTGGTGGCTACCACAGTTGGGTCTGAGGAAGGAGGAGGGGCTGGGTATCTGGACTCCCAGGTCTGAGGAAGAAGGGAGGTGAAGGTTCTGGACTTCGGGGTCTGAAGGAGGAGGGGATGGGATTCAGGATTGCTGATCTGAGAAAGGAGGTATTAGGGTCCCCAGCCTTGAGTCCACGAGGATGTGAGCGTGAAGCCCGGGAGCCCCTCTTACCCACAGGCCACATAGAGAAGCTGGAACCGTTCCTTGTAGCAGTTTTTATGGTGGAGAGTCTGGGCAGAGTCAAGGGACAGGAAGTGGACAGAGAAGGATCCCTGAGCCGAGGCTTCTGTGGAAGAGCAGACAGAGGTCATCCCTGCCGGGTGGGGTCACAGGTGCAGGGGTCTCAACCCCATGAGGGCCATAGAGACAAGCAGTGTTTGGGCAGATGCACAGAGGCGCTGAAATAACTGGGTGTGTAAACGTCTGTAACAAAGCCTCTTCTCATTTTATTTCTTAGGGATGGCTCTGGAAAATTCTGGGGAGTTCAGCCTGGCAGGCAGAGACCCACCTGAAAGACCAGACAACCAACTCAAGAGAAGGACAGAGACTGGGTGGCCCAGGTTACAGGTGCATTCACCCTGGAGTGGGACAGCTAAGGAGAGCCCAGCCAGGCGATGGGTAGAAGGCAGTGGGGTCTGAATTCCTGTGTTATGAAATGGAGCCTCCAAACAGAAGCTGGGACCTAGCACCGTGTGAGAATGTTCTCAACCAACTTAGACCTCCAGTGGTAAGTCAGAATTCTGTGTGTAAAATTCACAATTCTACCAAAGGTGTGAGGATTTAGGAAGGGGTTTGAACTCACATCATGTAAACTGGGATTGAAATCCCCGGAGCCTACAGCCTGGGACCAGGGCGTGGGTTCCACTCTCTAATGGTTCCACGGGCCTTCACCATTCCAATCCGTCGCCTCCCATTTCAAGGGGAGAGGGTTAAATCCCTTGCTTACCTGGAGGCTGCACGTTTTCTGCCTCCTTCTCCCACTGCACCGGCTCGGGGTCTCGCTGGCTGGTTCTTGCTCGCCCCCAGGCGGCCAACTCCTGGAACAACTCGGTCACGTTGTGTTGGGTGATTTCCCCTGCAGTCTTAAGTAGAGATAGAGGGCGTGGCTAGGCACTGGGCCTGGAAACGTGGGTGGGGCTTGAGTGACGGGGCGGGGCTTACATAAGCCGGCGCGAACACTAGAATGGGGACTTAGAACTAATGAGCAAGCTTGGATTTCAGGGGTCCCCGCTAAAAATCTAATAGGGGGTCTAGTGTTCAGACAGGTGGATCCATGAATGCTGGGTGGGACCTGATATTTGGAGGCGGAGCATGAGGCACAGGATGTAGAAACCAGAGGCGGAGCCTATGAGTTTGTGGGCGGGGCTTGTGTCACTTGGAGGTAACTCATCATGACGAGGAACTGACCCTGGAACGCGGGGCAGGGCCCAGTAGTGTGGGGAAGGGGCCTAGAAGACAGAGGACAGGGCCCACCTATAGCCCCCGCCCCCGCCCATGCCCACCTTGACTGGTTGCCCATTGCTGGTCCGTAGGAGGCTCTGGTCATCTGCTTCGATGCCGAAGGCCACGAAGGGCCCCGTGGCGATGTCCCCCCAGTACCCGCGGGCCGCCACACGCTCCCCACGCTAGGAAAGCAGGGAACGAAAGAGGGGGCGGGTAGAGCAGGAGTTGAAGGAGAAGGGGAGGGCCAGGGCAGGGGCTGCAAACGCACGTGGTTCAGGAGGCGCCCGGACGCCAGGGTTCTGTTAGGCAGGTGATAGGCGCTGGGGTCTCTGAGTTCAAAGGCGACACCGGTGTCCCTCCAGCGTCGGAACTCTCGGGTGTGGATGACGTTTGCCTAAGGCAGAAGGGAGGGAGGCCTCAGCGAACCTGGGCCTGAGTCCCCAGCCCTTGCTCCCTCAGACCCAGAGGGCCAGGCCCCCCAGTCTCCTCTCTCTGACCTAGGAGTCCTAGCCCCCAGCCCCAGTGGTCAGGGTCCCCCGGGTTCCTCCTCCCTCAGACCCGGTGGTCTGTCTCCAGCCCCTCCTAGCTGGCGCTCACCCCGCGGTCGTGCAGTTTCATGTGCAGGTCCCAGTCGCTGACACCTCGCCGAGCGTCGTAGCGGGAACCCAGGTAGTGGCGCACCCGCGAGTCCCAGAGGCGGTTCATGGGGAAGGTCTCCGGCCCCTTCTCCCCTCCCGCCCAGAAACGAAACACAGCCTCCAGGGCATCCCGCTCGCGGAACTGAGAGCGGACAGACAGAAAGGAGGAATGAGGGCGAGCGGCTTCTCTTGCTTCACCCTCCCATCCACTTGGGGGGGGGGCGGGGGGGTGCTGAGCACGCTCCCACTTGTCAAATGGAGAAACCGAGACGCAGAGGGCAGAGGACAGAGCCAGTCTCTCTGGCCCAGATCCCACTCAACCAACGCATATCCCATTCCAGTTCCCTCTGCCTCCGGGAGCCTGGAGGATGGCACCCCACCGACCTTGAGGACACTGAGGCTGAGCCAGGGCAACTGTTCCGCCAGACGGTCGGGCTCCGGGACCAGGTGCGCCAGGTGCTCGGCCTGGGTGCGCACGAAGGCAGCCACTGGGGGGCGCAGGAGCGCGTTCCCCCACACTTCCAGGAAGGTCTCGCTCTTCTCTGAGTAGAGGGTGGAAATGGGTGTAGAGAGAGGTAGGAGTGAGCCCCCCAATCAGAACCGTGCGGGTGACGCATTCCTTCGTATAGTCATCGATAGCTATATCAGTATCATTTCACGTTAAGTGCCATGGGGTCAGTTCCAGCTCATAGCGACTCTGTTATACAGAGGGGATTGCAATCATTGAAATTAAACGAAGCAAATGATTTGTGGAATGTAAAATTGATGATCTGCTTTGTAACCTGAACTCAACTCACAAGAAAAAGTTTTTATTATTATTATTATTATTTTAAAGAACTAGGGGCTGATGAAAGGAGACGGGGATAGGTCCCTTGTGGTACAATTGTTGTTGTTGTTATGTGCCATGGAGTCAGTTCTGACTCATAGCGACCTTGTACAGGGTTTCCGAGGCTGTAAATCTTTACGTACAATACTGAATAATTATTATCAGGACTGACTGTGAGGGTTGGAAATGTGAAAGTGAATGTTTTGTAGCAAAAGGAGGGGAGTGACTGACTTTGTAGTCCAGGAGCGGAGGTCCCTGGGACCATCAAGGGAGACTACCCAGGGAAACAGTGACGCCAGAGATGGAGGCAGAGATGATGACATGGACAGATGGAGCTGGCGAGGACTCTAGACCCAGCGAGGGAGAGGAGCTGTGTGCTGACGACCAGGAGCAGGCTTGCAGGGTATACCCTTTTGTTGGATGATGATGTATGGAGGGGATTGTAACTATGGCAATGAAACGATATACGATAGGATGAATGTAAAACTAATGTTCTACCATGTAAACTATCACATAGCTCACAAGAAAACATTAAAAAAAAAAAAGTTACAGTTAAGCAGTTTATAACTATGGTGGTGGTGGTGGTTATATGCCTAAGGTCGGTTCCAACTCATAGCGACCCTGTATAGGGTTTCTAAGGCTGTAAATCTTTACAGAAGCAGAAAGCCTCATCTTTCTCCGTAGAACAATTGGTAGTTTTGAATTGCGGATCTTGAGGTTAACAGACCAATTTGTAACCACTGCGTTATCCACCATATATTATTCTATGGTTAAACTGAGTATTTATTAAGGATTCTGTATGGTCTGGTATGGGTGGAGGTTTATGGTGGGGGGGGGTGACACCATGAGTTACCACAATGGGTGGAACCAACCCAGTAACATCACTGCATTGTTGGTTTAAGTGCCATCGAGTAGGTTCCACCTCAGACTTATACAGATGGAGAAAGTTGCCGAGCACCAAAGGAGTGATCCAGTGATGAAACAGGGGCAGTGACCAAATGTTGACCTTACATTTGTATCATCTAAATACCAGTGTTCTGCAGGAAAGAGGAAGGGACTGAGGTCCAGAATGCCTGGCTTCATCAGACTAACCTTGCAGCCCCATCTTCTCAGGTTCCTCCAGGACTAGGCTGAATATCAGCATGTGTCGCGCCACAGCTTCCAAATTATTCTCCAGCACATAGAACTGGACAGATGGACAGGGGAGACTGATTCTGACACCTGCATCCCTTAGTCCTTAACAGACCCAGGAGTGCTGGCCCTCAGTCTCATCCTTACACAGAACCCAGGACTCCTGTACACCAGTCACCTCATGTGTGTCAGAGTAGAACTGTGCTCCCTAGAGTTTTCAATGGCTGCTTGTTTTCAGGAGTAGATTACCAGGCCTTTCTTCCGAGATGCACTGGAACCTCCAGGCTTTCAGTTAGCAGAGAGTGCATTAGCCATTTGCACCATGCTTCTTCCCTCTAGAACCCAGGAATCACAAACTTCAACCCCTTTCTGTCTCTGGGACTCAGGAGTCTAGATCACTAGTTATCAACTCCCTCAGACCCAGGAGTCCAGGTTGCAGTACTCAGGATTTTAGACCTCCACCCACCCACTCCCTCAAGGACGCAGACATTTGGGCTCCAATTCTATAACGCCTCCTTTAGCTAATCCCTGCTCACGTTGAACTTCCTGCGAGGCCAATGTACTGCCCGGGCCAGGGTACGCAGTAGGTGCCGTCCATCCACGGAGCCCAGTAGAAGAACATCTAGCTCAGGAATTCCGTGCTCTGTTACTGCTTTAGAGTCTGGGTTCAGAGGAGGACCTGGGAAGGCGACAGCCGGCTGGAGCTAGTGGCCACTAGAGCGTCCCCTGCAGCGGCCCCTAGAACTACAAAATCCCAGCAGGACTTGCACCGTTGGCCTAGGTTCTGAAGGAAGCTGTGCCTCTAATCCTTCTGGGAATGGTAGTTCACACAGAGAATTTACACACTAAAGGAGCGCCCTCTGCCGTTGGAGCCTTAGAACGTTAGCACTCCCCACCCCCTCACCAGACATTGACACAGGGACTACGAGTCCCGAAAGGCCTTCCGCCTGTTGTCCATGGCTGTGAAGGCAGTAGCTGTACTAATGCATACTAGGATTTGTAGTTTGCGGGAAGCAGCTAAAGCTTGGGGTGGACGACTCACTTTCAGCCTGCAGATCCAGCGCCGGAGACAAACCCCACCAGGACACGGAACCGAAACCCGTGCCAGAGCCCGCCGGTGTGGTCATCGCCCTGCGATACAGACATCCTGGAAATCTTAAAACTCTCTGCATCGCCGACCCCCACCCATGACTTCTCACCCGTTTGCCTTCGTGTGACAAACTCCTCACCTTTATCTTTCCAAATATCTAGGGTCGTACCTCCTTCCCTGCTCCGGGCTGGGCAAGCTGTTGGAGTCCCACTCCACAACCGCTGTCCATAGCCTCCGCCCTTTTCGACCAATCAGCCAATGAGAATACGGAGATTGGTACGGCTGCGATCATCTGACCAATGAAAATAAGCTAGACCCGCCAGGTAAAAACTTTAGGCTAATGGTGTGCTTTAGAGAAGTGTGTGGACGCGGTTGTCTTGACGACGGTGCAGTAGAGAAGGGGGCGGGGCTTAGGAAACTAGGGCGGAGTCTGGGTCTGTCCAACTTTCTGGAGTGGGGGAGGCTTGGGTTGACCCAAATTTAGACAGAGGGGATCATGGATTAATCCAGATTCAAAAGCTTTATCACATTTCTGACAAGATTATTTGCTGGGGCTCGTTATTTTGTGAGCTAATGGATACACAGTCATTACAGTATTAAAAATTAAATTACATAAATGTACATTATGTTAAAATAAAATACTCAAAATTAAACACTTCAATTTTATTACATTTTAGTATTATCAATGCTTTTCTGATTGTTTACATTTATTGTATCTGTGTAGAGGAAATCTGGTGTGGCGCTGTGGATCAGCACTGGACTGTAAACCACAAAGTCAGCAGTGCAAACTGGACCATTCCATACATACAGGGTCGCTATGACTTGGAACCGACTCAATGGTACTTAACAACAACAAGCCATCTGTTATTTGTCATACTGGGGTGTCTTTCATGTAGATGTGGTGCTGGAAACTATGTCACTGGTATTTAAAATACCAGTAGGGTCAATGCTTGTGGACAATCTACAGGGGAGTTTCCAGACTAAGACAGATGGACGATAGGCCTGGAGATTTTTGGATCACAACAGAACACTATCTGACTTGCTTGCTTTGGATGGATGTCAGCAGGAGAGGTCAATCGCTAGAAGAAGACATGATGTTTGGTGGTATAGAGGGTCAACAAGGGCGAGGGGGGCCTGGGTGGGAAGGACCCACACAGTAGCTGAAATGGAGACTCAAACATGCTAGCCATCTCGAGATGATGCAGGACCAGGTAGCTATTCGTTCCACCATACTTAAGCTCTCCACAAATCAGAATCTGTTTAATGCAAGGTCGATGGTTCAAGCTCACCAGCTGCTCCTTGGATCAGTCGATCGGGATCGACTGAACGGCACTTAACAACAACAACAACAACCTAGCCATCCATCCCTCTATGCATTATTTAGAAAATGAAATTGGCACTGGCGCCCAAGGGCTGGGGGCTTTTTTGAGGGGAGGGGTAAATAAAGTTTTATTGAAACCAGGTCTGGGATGAGGTGAGGGAGGCAAGAACCTAGCGAAAGTGGGGTCAGACCCTGTCTTTATCGAAAATCTTGATATTTTACTCATCATGGATTTGCTGCATTGATTTATTTTTGTGAAAATACTGCATGTAATATTACTGATTTTGATTGTTGAGGGTTTTCACAGCCCCGTATATTTTGGACGCCTTATTCAGACCCTGAGAAGTACTTATCTATACACTGGTGAAACTACTAGGTGTCTCTTCTGAATCCCATGCTCAATGAATTCACCTTGGTGTCATGAAATCAATCATGATGGCAGTATTTACAACACAGGGGTGCTATGGAGTCCTGGTGTGATGCGGTAGTATAAAGCACTGGACCACAAGGTCGGTTTGAACAACAAGGTCAGCCGTTCAAATCCACCAGCTGCTCCTTGGAAACTCTATTCAGGGTTGCTGAGTCAGAATCTATTGACAGCACTTAACAACAACAAAGTGCACACTACACAGCAAATCGCAAGAAACACAAGTTTTCATTGCCTCCAGCTCTGTATTCTTCTAATTGTTCCTTCCCTCTAACATCCCTGTCTGTTTCCCCATCCCCTGAAAAAAAACTCTGCTGAGATCCTGATTTTGTATCTCCAGCCTCCAAAAATACATGGAAATTTGGATTTGGATTTGGATCCACAATCAATGCTCATGGAAGCAGCAGTCAAGAAATCAATCGATGGATTGCATTGGGCAAATCTGCTGCAAAAGACCTCTTTAAAGTGTTCAAGAACAAAGTTGTCAATTAAAGGGATAAGGTGTACTAGACCCAAGCCATGGTATTTTCAATCGCCTCATTTGCATGGGAAATCTGGATAAGAATAAGGAAGACCAAAGAAGAATTGGTGCCTTTGAAATAGACCACGAGACAAACAAATCTGTCTCACCAGAAGTACAGCCAGGATACTTTTCAGAAGTGAAGATGGTGAGACTTCATCTCACATGCTTTGGACAAGTTATCAGGAGGGACCAGTCCCCAGAGAAGGCTATTATGCTTGGGAAAGTTGTTGTTAGGTGCTGTTGAGTCGATTGTGATTCACTATGCACAACAGAGTGAAACAGTGCTCAGTTCCGCACCATCCTCACAATGTTGGTACATTTCAGCTCTTTGTTGCAGTCACTGCATCAATTCATCTTATTGGGAGTCTTTCTCTCTTTCGTTGGTAAAGATGGTCAGTGGAAAAGATGGAAGACATCCGATGACACAGTGGCTGCAATGATGCTGAGTCAGAACCAACTCAACAGCACCTAATACCACCGCCACCAAAGCCTCCGCAACTGTACAACAATGCCTTTCTGTTCTCATAAGCCACTCACTGTGGTACTTAGTTAAGGCAACCCGAGAACTTGAATACAGTAGTTTCTGAGATGGGAAGTCCTTTTGCTGCCCCTCTGGGTTCCCAGACCTGGAGATAAGGTTCCCCCAGCCCCTGCCGGCTCCCACCAAGGAACATGGGCCCAGGCCATCGCTGTTGCTGAGTATTTATTTGGACCCAGGAACAGCGCTGGGACCAGACTGGGGACAGGTATGATCTTGTGTAGGAGAAGGGTCCTGCAGTGGTTAAGGGTCATTGATTGTCAAAGCAAGGGGGGCTCGTCCTGGGGCGGAGTGGAGGGAGATCTGACTGCTCCCCTCCCCCTAGGGTCCCTGGGGGCTTCTGGGGGTGTGCATGATGGCGCAATTGGCAAGTTATCATGATGGATATAATCAGGGTGGGGGGAGGATTTAGCCAAGGCAGGAATGGTTCCGAGGGTGGGGAGGGGCGAGGTTAGTGGTAGAGATGGCTTCCAGATGGGACCGGGTTTGGTTTGGACCAGAGTCCAGCTTTGGCTAGGGACTTGGGGGTGGCGACGATCAGGGAGCAGGCGGAGGTCTCACTCTATCAGGGGGCCTCAACGAGTGCCACTGAGCAATGGACCGCCTGGGGTTGGCCAGCATGTCCGCCCAATGACGCAGGCCAGCCCCGCCAGCTGCCGCTCCCACCGCCACCCTTCCGATGGCCTCGTTCTTGCCCAGCTTGTCGTAGTCCAGCACGGTCAGTTCCACCTGTACCTTCTGGGGTGGACATAAAGGAAGAGGGGCGGGAGGGGGAGGCTTAGATATCGTAGCTAAGGATACCCTCTACCTATAAACCAGGATTTTAAGGGACTTTACTAACCGCTCTCAGAAACCCGGAAATCTCTATACAGGGTCACTGTGAGTTGGTATGACTGACTGGTCAACACAACAAACAACAACAAGGCCCTTTGACTGAGGCTAGGAAGCTCTGGACGTGCTGTGGGTTAGGCATTGGGCTGCTAACCTCAAGGTCAGCAGTTCAAACTCACCAGCCTGACCCCTGGGAGAAAGATGAGAATGTCTGTCCCATAAACAAACACAGTCTTAGAAACCCTATACAGGGTTGCTATGGATCAGAATGGAGTCCTGGTGTGACACTATGGGATAATGCACTGGACCACAAAGTTGGTAGTTCAAACTCACCAGTCACTCCTTGGAAACCCTATACAAAGTGGCTGTGAGTCAAAATTGACTAGACAACAGGAAGAAGAGTCAGAACCGACTCCATGGCATTGGGTTTGGGTTTGCCTACGATTAAGAACTGAAAGGTCGGTGGTTCAAACCCACCAGCTGCTCCTCGGAAACCCAATACAGAGTCGATATGAGTCGGAACCGACTGTATGGTACTTAACAACAGTAAGGAGCCTTGGTAGCCCCAGTGGTCTGGTAACTGAAAGGTCGGCCGTTCAGAACCTCCAAGCACTCTATGGGCAAAAGAGGAGGCAGTCTGTTTCTAAAGAGATTTACAGACTCGGAAAGTTAGGGAAGGGCAGCAAGAGCTCTACCCTATCCCATAGGGTGGCTGAGTTGGCTATGACTGGGTTTGGAGCTGGGGATAAGGGAGGTGGGCAGGCAGAAGGTATGGAGAGCCTTATCGTTACAGGGGTCTCTGGTGTCTTTCTTCCCAGAAGCTAGATTCCTAAGGACATATGAGTTCCCTTAGGGAGCCCTTTGGTGCAACTGGTTATGCGCTTGACTGCTAACCTAAAGACTGGCTGTTCAAATCTACCCAGCTGCTCTGAGGGAGAAAGACTTGGTAGTCTGCTTATAGGAAGTTTTCAGCCAAGAAAACCGTATGGGAAAATTTTAAATAGACTGAAAACAACTTGCCTTGCATTTGGGATAAAAAAGGGCAGGTCTACGCAGTAATCTCCGCATAATATAAACCGAAAAGCAAGCTTTATCCTTTGTACCAAGAATAAATTACGTGTACTAATTATTTGTAAGGAGCTCTGGTAGCGTAATTGTTACGAATTGGGCAGCAAACCACAAGGTCAGCAGTTCGAAATGACCAGCTGCTCCGTGGGAGAAAGATGAGGCTTTCTGCTCCCGCAAAGATTTACAGCCTCGGAAACCCTGTACAGGGTCACTGTGCATCAGAACCGACTCCACGGCACAAAACAACAACACTAATTATTTATATTCTGTTCAAATAGTACATTTTCCTTCAATTCCACCCTGTCTCGAATTTACCCTATTACATCATC